TCTAAAATACAGACTAGGTGACCTCTAAGGATCCTTCCAACTTTAAAACTATGATCCTATGGATCTTCATTTTGGAGGTTTCAGTACGCAAAATGGACCACAGTTCTGGGTTTATGTGCTGTCAGTTTCAAACACAGGCACACAGCTATATCTAATATATAGTGTGCTTAAATATTTCCTAAAAAGCAAAGACCTAGTAGAGATTACCACATTCTAGAGCAAACCTCCTTCCAAAATTTTTTTATAGTTTTACATTTTAAATAAGTGATTACTAAATTTAATCTGACAGTTGATACATAATTTGCATTTGAAAATGATTTGTAGTAAGACATTCTACTTGCTTATATCTTAAAATTTTAAGTAATCTTTAATCATCCTCCAATTTATTTCAGGCTTCAAAGAGATTTAATTCCCCAGTGAAACAAATTTTCAGAATTTAAAATATAAAAATTAAACTTCAAGGGTATTTTTTTGGGGAAGAGTAAAGGTGAAGGTAACTGAGCACCCAATGCTTAAAATGTGTCTGAATGACTGAGTACTATTTATGTGGCTGTTTTAAGAATTTTTCTTATATGAAACTAGGCAGATGTAAATTCCATAACAAGTCTATAAAAATTCAGAAATAACTTCAACTTTCTAAAAATAAGGTGCATTCAAGATTGACATCAGTGGATAAAATCCTTGTTACAAAATCCTGTTACCTATTCTAACCATGGGGATATTTATTGTATCTATGAGTAGGCTAACAAATTCTGTGGACTGCCTGATTGCAATAGAAAGAAAACAAAGAAATGGGAATACATCTATGAATATATATCCTCAAACAGTATTTCTACTCAAGCTATCAGATTTTTTTTATATCCTTGGAAAATACCAACCAAAAAAAGAAAGTTTATCAGAACAGACCAATCAGTACCAGTCAATAATTCTACTCTAACCTTAGATGACTGGAAATAAATAGGGTAGGAAAAACTATTTGGCACATGCCTCAAGGAAGTCAAAGACACAAAGATCTAATACGTACCAAAATACTCTTGGTAGTACCTTTTGTGGCAGTAAAGAGCAAGAAACAATGCAGATACTTATCAACTGGGAAACAGTTGAAAAAACTGGCATATGAATGTAATGAAATATTACTGTACATGAAAAATAACAGCTTTGAGGAATTAATTTAAGATTTGGATGAACTAATGCAGAGCTAAATAAGCAGACCAAGAGAATAATGTACAGAATGTCAATGTAAATGAAAAGATCATTAAAAGGTAGCTAAATGCTGGAGTAATGGAAATCCAAAGATGATCTAAAAGAGTTAACAAAATATCCTTTCTCCTTTATGATTAAAAAAAAGGGGCGGGGGGTGCTAGAACAGACTAGTGTATATACATTGCTAATCTGACTAGGATGTTTTGCTTTTTTAAAAAAAGGGATGAGAAATTAGAGATACAAAAACAAAACTATCAAAATGCAACAGGTAAGAAAAGGTAACAAAACTGAATTAAAAAAACAAATGGGGTTGTTAACAATGAATTGTAGATGTTTTTAAAGTTATGCACAGTTTTAAAGTTTTGGTATTTTCAAGTCTGAGCAGAGGAATGTCAATTATTTATTTCCTTTAAAGGAAAACCTGTTACTTGCACATTTTTGTTTGTATAAGGCTATTGTTAAGCAAAAAGCAGTTTTAGAAGTTTTGGATTTGCAGTTTCTTTTAGTTATTGTTTTTTGAGACAGGGTCTTCCATCTTGTTCATGCTAGAAGTGAGTGGCCACTCATAGGCCTGATCACAAAACTGATTGGCAAAAAAGCTTTACTTTGTTTTGTTTTTCCAACTGGGCTGGTTCAACTCCGTACTGCTCCTCCATTTGGTGGCCTTCCATTCCTGGGGGCTAACCATATTTGTGCCAGCCTTTATGCAGACACTCATTTGGCTTGCGTTACTGCTGCTCAGAACTCCTAAACTCAGGCAATATACCAGTTTTAGACCTTCCCTAGGTGCGGGGATTACAGACCAGACTACAGACCTAGCAGCTTTGTTTTCACTTCATAATAGACTAAAAAGTCCCCTCAATCTTTTTTTTCCCCTCTACTAATTTGCTGGGCAAACTCTATTCCCACCAACCACACAAAAAGTGAACTGGGGTTGCTTCTGTTTTGCTTCAGCCATTCTCTTAGTTGAATGTGGGAGTTTTCATCTCAGACATGAAAAAATTCCTTTGCTTGATTTCTCATAGATACAATAGATGAGCTAACCGGAATTCCAAATTAGTTGAGGAACATGATAAGGTTTTACTGTTGTGTTTCACTACACTGGACACACAGGAGTATTTCATTACAGTTATGTTGGCCATTTTGATTGCTATCAATATTCCAAATTTAATATGCTACAGATGTCCTACTTTATTTGTAATCTGGACTACATTCTTACACTATGTTACTAACAGGATCCCTATATAATTTCTGATGCCAAGCATTAACAGTACTTGCCACAAATTTAGAATTTTTATGAGAGAATTTCAAAGCAACTAAAGACAGCATTTCATTTTATACTTGAGAAAACTGTGGATTAAAAGACTTCAAAACTTGGAAGTCTACAAACAAACAAACAAAACAACCTAGTGGACTAATTACAAGACAGATCTCAGGAAAAGTAAATTCTACTATTTCCAGAGTAATAAATGATATGACACTGGAAACATTCCTTAAACTTCCAAAGGTGAAGGATTAATAGTTTCTCCATTGAAAACAGAAGGGATACACAATATAGTATGTTACATAATGTGAAAACAAAGAGACTTAGAAAAGAGGATTTGGGGTTCTATGTAACATATTAAACACATTGCAAAATATAATCTTAAAGCTAAAACTGCAGGGCCTAATGGGTGCATAAAGAACTAATCAATCTTTCTCCTATGGAAAATTCTGGAGAAAACTGTGCTCAATTTAAGCTTAATTGTAGTGCTGGAAAAAAAATGCTATTTATATTTCAGTTTTTGAAAATATACTTTTATCCATTCCCTGGTCAAAGGAAATGAATGGGCAGTTTTTGAAGGAAGAAATCCAAGCTATCAATAGTCATGAGAAAAAAAATGCTCCACTTCACTAATAATTAGGGAAATGAAAATTAAGAAGCTCTAAGGTTCAACACTAATCAGTATGGAAAAGATGACAAAAAAAGGATGACAAATGGTTGAAGGGCTTTGAGAAAACAGGCCTATTAATGTACTGTTAGTAAATCTCTGAATTAGTTCAGCCATTCTGGAAGGTGACTGGAACTCTTTCCCTGCCCGGCTCCCTCCCTCTCCCCCTCCCCAGCCCCAAGTCATTAATCAGTGCATCTCCTTTGGCCCAGAGATATCACACCACCTATAAAATCTGATGTTACTTTCCCTCCCATACTCTGTGAATTGACCTTCTTTCTGTTCCCCACTAGCAACACTGCATCTATTCCTGTGCTTTTGTACCATATCTATATATATCTATATATGTCTCACACCCCTGAAATCCACTCATTCCTTATCTCTACTTCACAGAGTCCCTCCCTTCATTTAAAGATGCAGATTAGGCACCACTTTCTGTATGAAGCCTTTCCTGATCACTCACTCACAAACTAGCTTGTATTTAAGTTCTGTGTATTTATTACATTTTCATTAACTTTATACTGTGTATGTTTATAAACATGCATAAGCATGTGTATTTAAACACACACATAGATATACTGCATGTATTTACTGGTTGTCTCTTCCATTTTGAGTAAAAGCTGCTTCATTTTATGTATTTGTATCCCCAGCACTCAGCCCAGTGCCTGCTACATAATTGCTTAATAAATGCTTCGTGATTGACTGAACATAGGTACAAAAATATTTACAGGAGCTCTTCTAGTAAAGGTTAAAGAACTAGAAACTAAGGCAAGGAAGGGTCCATCAACTAGAGAATAGCTGAACAAATCATAGTATATGAATATAATGGAATACCACTGTGCTTTTAAGAAATAACAAAGGAAACAGTTTCAGAGAAACTTCGGAAGCTCTGTAATAGCTGATGCTGAGTGAAGTGAGCAGAACCAGAGCAATTTATACTAAAACAATATTGTAAAGATAAATAACTTTCAAAGACTTAAGAACTCTAACCATGATTCCAGAGGATCAATGATGAAGCATTCCATGTAACTTCTGACAGAGAGGGAAAGAACTCATGACACAGAATAAAGCACACTTGTTTTGGCCAATTAATTTGTTTTTCTTGATTTAAGCACATTTGTTATAAAGATTTTTGTTTTGTTTTTCAACTGGGGAGGGGAGATGAGAGGGAATCTGGTTAATTAAAAATAAAATTTTAAAAATGTTCTTTGCCATTTTGAAATATTATATTATATTAAACTTTTCTATACCAGCAGAACCGAAAGATTATTCAAAGCCCCTGCACTTCAAAATAAGAAAGCACTCTTCCAACTGCAATCCTCATAAGAAGTTTATGGGATATTAATTTATAAAATGTTCTAATACAATGACTAGGTTAATGAATATAAATATTCCTTCAGGTTCAATTTACCAATGACCCCCAAGTGAAGTTGAAATATTCCAATTAAGTAGACATAAATGGCAATAATAATCAGTGGTATGAACCAGGGATAATGTTTTTAACTACTCAAATTCTATTGTCCTATCAACTAAGGTATATAAATATGACATAAACAGATGCTACATCCTTCTCCTAATACCAATTTAAGAAATTTTTCAGAATTGAAGCCAATTATTAGTTGTGCAAAGGAGACATACCCACACCCACTATGACATTTAAAATATTTCATAATGGCCAAATTCTCCTCCAGTCATTGCCACTGAAGACAGCATGAATGGCACAATCCTTTCAACAAAATTTCAAGCATAATGTTCCACCCAGAAATTTCTGCCTAAAAGGGGGAAGCTATGATTCTTGAATTTACTCATTAAGAAAATGAACATTAACACTGTATCTTAATAGAGGCAGCAGAAGCACTTGCATGCTAAAATATGACAAGTTTTAATCAATGTTTGTAAGGGTGCCCACTGATTCTAAAGTCATTTTCTCTCTACTCTTGTAACTTACTCAACTAAGAATCACAAACATGAGGCACAATTTATGAGCATCTAATTTCAGTAGGAAGCTTACCAGCAAGTAAAATTATTTTCATCTTTACTCTGAGAAATTAGTTGATGAAGACAAAAATGCATTTAAAAGAAAATTTTATGTTCTAGGTGACAGCTACCAACTTAAATCTCTAAAAAGGAACTGCAGACATTATGTACTTACTTTGAAAAATTTGACTCACACAGATTTTAGGCAAAACTATTTTTAAAATGTCAATTTGTTTAGTCATTTATATATAATCAGTACATCTCACTTTCATCACATATATAGTCCCAATTTTAACTCAACTTTATTCATATAAAATTAAAGTTTTAACCAGTAGATGGTTATTAGAATGGCCTCATCTTGCTATTTTTTTTTTTTTAAATAGTGAAAGACTTCTGAGATTTTGAGAGACAATTAAAAATACCCTTATTCACTGGCAACAATGGTGCTAAGAGCTCTCCATGTTGAGAACTGATTATGGTTAAATGTCTAAGTGATGGATAACATGAAGATCATGATCCCAACAGAACCATCCTTTCTATGAGAGAAATTTCTTATACGAGTAGTAAGCTGCTTAGTCTGTCATCATTACAGCAGGCAGTAAAATCAGCAAGAAAGATACTTGAAAAATCATCATGACACAAAACAATAACCATTACTTATGCTGCTGCTGGTATGAAATTAGTACACTGGGTTAAATTTTTTTTTTGCATGAAACACTGATTTTTCTCGTGATATTTAACTTTAAAAAGATTTTATGGGTTCTTTAACCCTTGGAGCACTAGTATTTCAAGACTACCAACCAAAGGTATAATTAGAATATGTCTTTGTCCACAGTTTCCCGAGGGTTAAAGTGCATGACTTTTCTGTGGCCTGGCACACAAGATTTCCTATTCCACTTTTTTCTTAAATGAAACTTTGTCTTTGGTTTCTTGCAGTTTTTCTGTGAGTCTATCTTTTGTTTCTCCCATTTTTTCTGTAATAAGGTCCTTTGTTTCTTCCATTCTGTCCTGGAAGTAGTCTTTAACTGGAGGTGGTGTTGACATGTAGCCATGACTACGAAGATACTTGACAGTAATGGATGTTCCTCCCAAAGTCACAGTGTATCTGGCAGGTGTTGCAATCTTAACAGAAGAAGCAAATGTAGGGTAGATTAGTTAAGGCAAATGCATATTAGCAAAAAAAAAAAAGTCAAGATTAGAAATATAAAGTGTGTCAATGAAGAAATTACTATAATAAATGCAGTATTTTAAGGTTTAACAAAGCACTTTGGATACATTTTTTGATCTTTTCTACTTGGAGTTAGCTATTACAGGAATTAATGCAGGAATTTTTACAGATGAGAGGAACTGAGGCTCATGACTTGCCCATGGCCACAGAATTAGTAAAGTCTGGGGAGTCTTTAAATTCAGATTTTTTCTAGATTCCAACTTCCACTGTGTGTATTGGGGGGGGCAATTGGGGTTAAGTGACTTGCGTGTGTGTGTGTGTGTGTGTGTGTGTGTCTTATTCTGCATCTCTAGCCCATCACTTTTCTGCCAAGATATAGGAAGCTTGCTTCATGGTTACACTTGTGGAGTGCTATAACTGTATTTATCATATTTCATAATTCTTTCAAAATTGTTTTCCTTTACATTACTACAGTCATTGTAAAAGTAGTTCTCCTCTCTCTGCATTTAACTCATACAAATTGTCTCAGTTGTCTCTGAATCTGTTCCTTTTATTATTTCCTATGGGACGATCATGATCCAACATATTCAAATACATAATTTGCTCAGCTATTCACAGCTGATGGGCACTCACTTTGTTTCCAGCTTTTGCTACAATAAATCATATCATTAAGTATTCCTGTACATATAGGTCCTTTCCATATACCTCTCTGGGATATATGCCTGGTAGTAGTATTGCTGATACATGTAATTTAGTGACTTGGATATAGTTCCAAACAAAACAAAACAAAAACCAAAACCCCCACAAAAATACAGAAGAGAACAGGAGGAAACATACATGAAGACAGACAAGGAGTATTGTACTAACACATTAAACTTAATATACATACACTTAAAACTACAATATTCATAGATTTATATGCAATCTTCTTCTCCTGTTCTTTGACTTAACAAAGTATATCGCAGATTTCTTAGCAAAGAAAGGTTATTAGACGTATCAAAACCAGGGGCAGCTAGGTAGCGTAGTGGATAGAGCCCCCGCCTTGGAGTTAGGAGGACCTGAGTTCAAATCTGGCCTCAGACACTTGACATTTATGAGCTGTGTGACCCTGGACAAGTCACTTAACCCCACTGCCTAGTTCCCCCCTCCAAAAGAAAAGTATCAAAACCAAGACTATTCTGGGAAATGTCCACAAAAATGGTGAAACATATAGAAATTTGTCAAGTTGTATTAGGTTATTTTACTTTTGGTAAGCCTTGAATGACCTACCCTTTTATTCTAAAACTAACATCAATATATTAACATTTTATGAGATAAAAAAGAACTTTAAACTGTAGAAATAGAAAAGTTAAAATATAACACTGTTTCAGATCAACAAACAAACTTATGAAGAACCATGTATATCAGTTAGATCTAGGATTCAATGTGTTTGTTAAAATACCCACCTTAAACAAGGCATATGCAGTTAGTGCATTTCCACTTTGGGAATTTTTCAAAATGCTCACTATGCTGTCTGGTAACCCAATGTGTTCCAAAAAAGGAACAACATTCACTCCTCTAGTAAAGGAAAAAAAGAGAACAATTTACACACATACAAATTCTAACATTCTTGAAAGGTTTTATGAAACAATATAATTCATCTTTGTTTTGTTTTATTTTTTAAAATTGACCACAACTTGTCAAAGACTTTCATCTGACTAAAAATAAGTTGTTCCTACGGCAGTATGCTGTTAAATATTTCACAAGTAGGAATATTTGAAACCAATATATATATTTTTGCTGTAAGAAAATAAAATTGATTAAGCTAGCTTTATGCTTACCATCATACAGCTAGGAAGTTCTATTGGGGAGAAATTAGCAGCATGGTCTTTTAATCATTGTTAAGACAAAAAGTATCCTCTTTTTTCTAAAGTGGGGAAAGCAAATGGGAGGAAATCAGCAATCTCTCAGGTTTTACTGGCAAGTGGTGCTTAATTTTGATTCAAAATTCATTATTTCTAGATTTTACCTTTAAGACATATACAGTATATAAAATGGCATTGAACTGTATATTAACTTTTAAATATTAATAAAAATTGATTTGTATATGGTCCAGATAAACATTTAAGTATCACAGCAAGCTGGCTTAAGTAGTTCTACAGGTATTATTATTTCTATTTTACAGCTGAGGTTCAGAGAATTGAAGAGTCTAGGCCAGGGACACAGGGACACAAAGATGAGAGGTGTTAAGAGTAAGCAAAAACTGGTTGAGAGCTGCATATTGACTTAGAAAACCACAAATTATCATTATCTATGATATATTACATTTTTATTTACTTTGTCAAACATTTTCCAATTATACTTTAATCTGGGTTTGTGAGTTTGATACCTCTGACATAGATGATAGAGGTGGGACCTAAAGTCAGGTTTTCCTAACTCCTACTCCAGAATTCACTACATTGAGTCTCTTAAAACAAAGATACACTGAAAATGCAAATGTCATTCTATATTCTAATATAAAAAAATATATTGGTACTCTACATAGTTTGGTAAGAACCTCAGCCTAACATAATTAGCCTACATGTAACCAAATAATCTATAGAGTTAACTCTTTAAAAAAGAAAAATATTATTCCTAGTTACTCTTACTCTAACCTCTGTATTCTGCTTTAGTTTTGTATGGGTAGTTTAACATTGGCACAAAAAACATATGGAAAGTAGAGACAATTATCCATGATTTTAACAAAGCTGAAAAAACAGAACACTGAATTAGAGGCCTAAATTATGTGGTTATATGTGCTTAGTGACATAAGTCCTTTTCTGTGATTTTTTCCAGTATGAATTCTGTAACATTAATGATCAATTCTTCCCTGATATCATATGTAAATGACTAAACATTTATCAAAAATCTTTATAATTATCATTAATGATAATATACTACCAGAAAGGTTGTTTGAAATAATCATCTTAACCACTCAAGTGGTCTTTTCTGCCTCCACTTTTGATTAAACTCTACTGGAATAATAAAACCTTACATCTGGAGTGACCCTTAAGTTACCTAGTTCAAACCCATTTGTTCTAGTAATATAAGGGGAAAGCCAGATCCCTTCTCAAATAGATTCCTATGCACAGAAGAATCCTATGTTTGGTGACTTGTTACTACAGATTTGGAGATAGTATGGTCCTACATATAATTACAGATATAATTACAATGCTTAACCTGGTGCCTGGCACATAGTAGGCACTTAATAAATGCTTATTGCTTGATTGAATGACATACAAAAAAAGGATGAAATAACAAGGTGAGTCCATAAAGTAACATTATCTTCCAATACCAGCATTATCATAAAGAAGTTCAACTGTTCCTACAGATGCAATAACTAGACACAGTAATTCTGAAGGGCAGCTAGGTAGAGCAGTGGATAAAGCACTAGGCCTGGAGTCAGGAAGACCTGAGTTCAAAAACTGGTCCCGCCAATTTTAGCTGTGTGACCCGAGGCAAGTTACTTAATCCCATTTGCCTCAGTTCCTCATCTATAAAATGGGGACACATTGGAAAAGTAAATGCAAACCACTCCAGTATTTTTGCCAAGAAAACCCCATGGACAAAAAAAGTCTATGTGGTCACGCAGAGTTGGACACAATTGAACAACAAGTGTTAGTCCAATTTAACAATACCAATAAAATTATATAGGGCTTCATTTGTTTCTCCAGAGAGGCATCATGGTTTTGTAACCTATAAAGCCTTGTACTTAGGCTGTATCTACATCACACCAAAATACGTAGGTAGAAGTGAAAACTTTGGATCAATTTGTCCATGCAAGGTCAGATAATCATATTGTCTAACATAACTGATTTAGTTTTTTGCCTTCCACTTATATTATCTAGGGCTATGTAAAATCATACCAAAGACTAAGAAACCTGTATCTTCTCCATGAAGATCTGCCATTATTAATGGACACATTCTGAACATCTGTTCATACAACCATTATTACTGTTTCCACAATTGTAAACTGGAGATGCCAATATCTGGCCTCCATTATCTATAAATGACTGAAGTGAAAATTTATTTTACTTTTTAAAAAGCAAAAGAAAATTCTAAACATTTTAAATCTGTTAAGAATTTTGAGGTTTTAAAAAATGGGCCCTACCTAAATTTTACAAACCTTTATTCTACCTTTTGCTGACACTTCCTGGTGAGTGTCGGCCAATGTGAAAGAGAATGACACTCATGTCCAACCATGATTTTATTTTATGGTGATCCACTTTAAGATGAGATTTCCCCAAATCTCTTAAAAATAGAGAGTTTTATTCTGTACTCAATCTACCAGGCAAAATCTACATTTTGAGTAGGGAAATGGTCATTTTGGAATAGAAATGAAATATCTGCTTAAGGGAGACAGACTACCAAAGTAAAATATTTTGATAACTTTATCATTGATTCGTGCTAAACTTAGAACATTTTTGCTATGCTCCTAGAATGAAGGATGAGGCCAGTTGGTTGGAGTAACTAGAACACTAGTTCGATAATGTAGTCTGATATCAAGGGCCTATTGCTTCCTTTCGTTGCCTATTAAAATAAGTAACATTCAAAGTCCAGGGAAAAATATTTTCAGGTTCAACCAAAATAGTACAGGACTAAATTAATTACAGGTGGTCTCCCTCTAGATGGGACTGAAAGTTTGCATTTAATAAAACCAACTACAATTACTATTGTTCACATGAAAAGATACACTGCTTTTTTTCTTTAAAAATTTTCTTTCCCTCTCATTTCCTGACATTACTTTCTTATGTATTGGTTGTTAGCTTGAGAACAAAGCAATTTTCAGGATTATGAGTTACAGGATTAATGTTAAGAAAAATTTATATACTTTAATCATTTAAAAAAAGACTGCCTTGGGAAACAAAGACAATCTATTAAAGTTCAATGACATGGCAATGTACCAGAACTGGGCCTGGTAAAATTTAACTGCTATTTTAGTTTGTCATAGTTGCTGGAACCACTAAATTCCAGCTTTATGAATAGCAAAGAGACAAGGCAGGATAGTAAGAAAGGAGGACAAATTTTGCCTCCTTTCCTCACCGAGAACATCCAGATTTCATGATCAGTCAACAGGAAAGGAAGAAGGGAGATTTTTACACTATAGACAATGGTGTTGCACAGCATCACAATAACTATCTTAATTATACTGAGTTGACTAGATTATATGCCTTTGGGCATCTGCCCTTACTCAGTTACAGAGAAACCTTCCCAAAGAAGATAAAAGACAAGCTATAAGAAAATGAGATAAAAACAAAATACTTGGAGTGGCTACATGAGGAGCTTTGGTTTAGTTACTAGAAAATGAATTCATCTCCTAAAGCTAAAGAGACTAACTCCACTGTAAGGACCTATCCTTTATGAAGTGCAGTAAAAGCAAAGAGTATTTGTCTTTCTGGGGGAAATGACAATCAGAGTATATTTCTCAATAACTCTACAAAGAAAATCAAGTTTAACATTTCTTTCTTTTCTTTTCTTTTTTTTAGGCAGTTGGGGTTAAGTGACTTGCCCAGGGTCACACAGCTGGTAAATGCCAAGTATCTGGTCTGAGGCTGCATTTGAATTCAGGTTCTCCTGACTTCAGGGCCGGTGTTCTATCCACTGCGCCATCTAGCTGCCCCATCAAGTATAACAATTCAACTAAGCAATAGAGACTGGTAATCCTAAAACCATTTTAATTTAGAAATGGTGGGAAATTTTGTCTTTCAATTATGGAAAAGAAAAATCTTTTCCTGGTCCTATTAGATATACTGGAAAATATGATTAACAAACAAAGTATGACAAGGAGATTTGTGCTAAATTTAGAACACTTTGCTCAATAGCTCATAAAAAAGGGGATAATGCTATTTAAATAGTTTTAATAATACAATCTGATAGCAAAGCCCCATTGTTTCCTTTCTTTTCCTATTTAAACAGGCAACATCAAAATCGTAGGGAGAAATACTTTTTGAGTTCAACTAAAATAGTATAGTATGAACAAACGGTATAAAGATGGTAATCTCTAGAAGACAGGAATTATTTAATAAAAGCATACACAATAAAAAGATATGAAAACAAAAAAAAAATGAAAAGGCCATAGCTACAGGGATCTTAGGATTAGCTAGAAGGGGCCTTAGAGGTCACCTAATCCAACCTACTCATTTTGCAGATGAGGAAATCAACATTAATAATTACACCTCTTTAATTCTATTAATAATTACACCTCTTTAATTCTATGTTGCTGGTACGCTAGTTAGTCTGTATGTACATATCCAATTCATCTTCTTGGGTAGAAGTAGTCTTGTGATAACGAGGAAATTTTTTCTTTCCAAATAGTCAATTTCACATATAAAAACTACACGATAGCAACACCTGAATATATTGTAGAATTAACCTAGACCCTAAATTTTTTCTGTAGTTTAACATAGCTGGGTACATAATCCAGCACTGAAAACATACTATCCTCCATAAGAAAGTTCTGGCTCTTTTGCTGGTCCAAAAAAAGGCTAGATGATGACCTCTGTCCATGGGCCCTATTTTTGTCATTGGTTACTTTTCCTGGGACCACCATCTCACGAAGGACCTCAGCCATGCTTTACCATATTCCTGCCTCTACTCTTTCTGAAGATGATCTCCTTTTTTCCTAGCCTCCTTTGATGCTGCTGCTCTGGGAAACCTCTACCCTGGGGCCTGCCTTTCCTCATAGGTGACTCCATCTTTGTCTCCCTATATGAATTGTCTTCTCTCATTTGAACATAGACTCCTTAAGAGTAGAGACTGTCTTGTTTTCTTGTATTTGTATCCCTAGTACTTGACATAGTGTCTAGCTTGCAGGGGTGGGGAACCTGTGGCCTGTTCCCCACCCCTGGAGCCTAGTACATAGGAAGCACTTAATAAGTAGTCTATCTTATCTATCACAGAAAAAGGCATATATATCAGAAAAAGGCCTAACAGTTACGTCCAAAGCAGATAAAGCAGCAGAATGGTGGTGATGTCAGAGGAAAAGATGAGAAATTGGCATATGCATGATGTATGTTTTCATTTACACTGGTATTTCTAAAACTGTTTAAGTAAAAGCATCTACCTTCATTATAAATGAGGATTAGATAGCACCTAACAACGATGGTTGATTTTCACAAAGCCAGGAAGCCAGGCTCACTAAAAACTTTTAAGAGCTAATTTTTGATTGAGGCAAAATAGCTTATTTAAGCAATTACCAGCATAACACAATGTGTAACATAAGGTATAAATCATTAATTTGCTATTGTTTTTCTGTTGTAGACATTAGGTAGATTTTAACAAAAACACTAAAAATTGAAGTCTTGCTAAAATTCTGTGTATTTCAAACAAGACATGTTTTATATTTATATATATATATATATATATACACACACACATACATATATATATATTTTTTACATTCATACAGTATTCACATGGCATATTGGAAAGAACCCCATGCAAACCTGGGTTCTAATGCTGGTGCTGCTACTAACTTTGACAATTCAGAAATTTTGTAGGCCTAAGTTTCCTCATCTATAAAATGAGAGACATGTAAATGAGGTCCAAGGTCCTATCTACTTCTAAAATACCATAATTTTATGAAACAAAGAATTGATGTTTACAGCAATATGTCTTTATATTCCTGAAAAAAAAATTTTTAAAATTAGTAACTGACATTTATTTAGCACTTTAAAGTTTGCAAATCACTTTAACCATTTCATTTAATTCTTAAAAGAGTCTTGGGCGGCCATCTTTTCTGCTGCTCTTGTGCATACTTCTGATATCCTGCCTCTCTACCTTCTCTGTAGTTAGCTATTTCTAACACACCGTAGCTGCAGCTAACTAAGCCTGCTAAATAATTTTGCATTATGATATTCAAAGTGGGGCATCTAATGAATAAAAAGCATCACAGGTGAAGGAACTTCTTGGAGTTCAGAAACCTTTAAAAACAATAAAACACTTATTTCTAGTTTGGGTTGTATTCCAGAGAATTTTATCCAAGAATTTTAGAAATGGAAATGGACTTTAGTATCCATCTAGTCTAATCTACAACCAAAAGAGGAATCTTGCCTATAATATACCACACAAGCGTCTATGTAGTCTTCATCTGAAGAATTACAATGTGAAGGAACCCACTACCTCCCAAAGTGATAAATGGTTCCCACTTTTGAAATGGAATCTCCATTTTATGGATTAGACTCAGAAAAACTCATATAATTCATAAATGTCAAAGGCAGGATTTGAACTAGAGCCTCCAAGAATAGTACGCTTTCCAATGTACCATGCTACTTCAATTATTTCTGCAATACTCTGAATACTGTGTTTATTACAAGCTACATAGTTTCGCACACTACCAGAATATGAACAAGATGTCTAAACTAGGCCAGAGATCATGTTAAAAATAAGACTTAGGCATATCACAAATAACAAAAAATCAGATACTATAAAGAAAGGTCTTAAAGAATAACTTACTTTAAGGCAGCATAATAAAACGTTCCAAACCAAATACCAGAAGTCACTAAGTGTACTGGAATCATAACTTTTCCATACTGTCTAAATGTTTTCTTAAATCGCTGATACAGACTAATAGATTTGTCTTGTAATGGATCAAGATCTTCCTTTTTCTCAGCATGAATTCCTTGGGCTGTGCCACTAGATGATATAACCCTCTCTGATGAAGTTTCTTCTTTTTGTTGATTATGGTGAGAAACATCTACTGGCTTCCTTTCCTTTGAGACATGTTGTGCAGAAGATACATGTAGCCAATGGTTTTGAGAACCCTGCACCAAAACAATCTTGGGCCAAGCTTTACGTAAGCCTTTTATGCTTTGAGAGTGCCCAATGGAACCAGCCCCATGTGAGACCAAACATGTTCTATTTGCCAGTTGAGACATAGTCCGTATTAAATTCCACTGCATTTTGATGAATGGTGGTTGTTGATTTCAGTTCCTACAGAGACTAGACCAAAAACAGAGACACACAAAATTTAGAAAGCTGTATTGTACACCTTACATGGTATAATTTTAAAGTAAACTTAGTAATCAGGTACTAGAAGATAAAAGAACATTTTCTTCCAATTCCGCTAAAGCTAACATTAAGGTTTTCAAGTGCTAAGATCTACTGTGAATGGAAAATTTCATTCTATATAGTTATTTACTCAATAATCTAAATACAATAAAACAACCTGTGCCTGGAGTCTTCATGAGACAGAAAAAAACAAAACACTTAAGTTATTTGAGGCACTGGATTACGTTTCCTATGATTCCATTTATGTCTGTATTATCTGATGAACAAAATGTTCATCTCTTTCTAGGTACTGTGAAAACCACACACACACACACACACATACACACACACACTTCTAAACAGTAGTATATATTTACCTTGTGCACTTCATCTTTTAAATGTGGTAATAAAGGGAACCCTGAGGTCTTATGCATTTATCCTACATGTCTGGAAGAGTATATTACAAGATAGGTCCAAAAAAAAGAAGAAAGAGAATACAATAGATAATTATCAACAATGCTGGATGGTCAACAGAAAGTTTCCCTCCTCACCTTTAAATACTAAAACTTTAACTTTTTAAGTGGAAATTTCAAACATATTTTTCACTTTCCTGGTAAAACAGGCTTTTGAATATAATTAAACTTTTCTGAATTACTCAGGAATATAATGAATATTTAGCATAATACTATACCATTTTATGTCATATGTTTTAAGGTTTACAAAGAACTTTTGGTGTATCACTCTAATTGACATACTTATTAAGTATCTTTTACGCGTAAAGCAGTTAGGTGAGAGGATGAGGACAGTAACAAAACAATCCCTGACCTGAAGGAGTTTATTTTCTGTAAGATGTTACTGTTCTACAGAAGCTTACAATCTTGGTACATTATTCTCACTTGAATTTTGGCTATTATTCTTATTTCATTGATGAGGAAACTAATGGTCACACAACTAGTAAATGTTAAGTGATGAGACCTGAACCCAGGTTTCTTCCTTATTCCAAGTTTATCACTCTTTCCATTAAGTTGTGCCTAACTTTCAAGCTCTTCTCTCTCAAGAACAGGCCATCTTTTCTGCTGCTCTTGTGCATACTTCTGATATCCTGCCTCTCTACCTTCTCTGTAGTTAGAGAACATACTGTAGCTGCGCTAACTAAGCCTGCTAAATAATTGTGCATTATGATATTCAAAGTGGGGCATCTAATGAATAAAAAGCATCACAGGTGAAGGAACTTCTGGGAATTTAGAAACCTTTTAAAAACAATAAAACACTTATTTTTCTAGTTTGGGTTGTATTCCAGAGGCAGAGGGTTGAAGCCACTGAAAAAACACATCTCCAGATATCGAAAATGCTACTATATGTATATACATACCTACATTATGTACCAGGTACCTTGCATACAACTACAAAAATTAAATAATCCCTACCCTCAAGGAACTTATATTCTATCAAAGGAGACAACTAGTAGCTGTTATTGCCACCAAATACCTCCTCCGCTCACTTAAATGTTGCTAGACATACAGAAAATCATGCAACCTTATGAATAACATCTATTACAAATTTACATTATCTCACTGTGCCCTCCCTACAGCAAGGCAATACTTTTACTATTTTCTGATTTTCTAACCCACTCACAATTGCTCCAAGCCTCCTATGTCCCTAAATCTCCCATACCATCCACTCTTCCCAACCTCAGAGTTAAAGAACCCACCTAATTATTTACAGAAAAAATAAGAGGCCAATTACTCTAAGCTTCCTCTTCTCCCCTTCTTTAACAACATCCCCCATTCTCTCCTCCTCTACTCCCTGATGAAGAGGTGGCTCTTGCTGCCAAGGCAAATCCTTCTTAATCCCATCTCCTCCCAAGTTCTCCAATGGATTCTCCCCACTCTCCTATCTTAAATTTCTTATTTCCTGGATATTTCTCTGTTGCCTACAAACACATTCATGTCTCTTGGATCCTCAAAAAAACCTGGACTTGATCCTACATACTGTGTAAGCTATAGTTCTAGATATATCTCTTCTTTTCTTCTCAGCTAAACTCTTTGAAAAAGTAAGGAAGCACAATATATTGACTACCTAGCAAAGAAGAATGAGAAAGTGATCAGAAAGGAGAGAATAGTATCAAGAAAATAAGAATATCCAAAAGGGAAGAATGGTCAGCAGCATCAGATGTTACAGAGATCAAGAAGGGGACTGAGAAATGACCATTAGATTTGGTAATTAAGAGAGTAGTGGTATGGAAAACACAAAAGTCAGAAACCAGATTACAAGAAATTGAGAAAAGAAAGTTGAGGTAAACATAGTTTTTTCTAGGGTTTTACCTGAGAAAAGAAGGAGATACAGTTAGCTTCAGAGGATTGTGGGCTCAAGTAAGTTTTTTAAAAAGGATACATAATACCTGATATGTTTGTAGGCAAAGAAGTGGACAAAGGGACACTAAAGATTACAGAAAGAGGGGATGCTTATGGGGGCAACCTGCCAGAGAAGATGAAAGTAGGAAAGAGTTAAAAGAAAAAAGAAGGGGAGTTCATATCTCCTTTTCTCTGGATCATTTCCTCTTTGACATAAGATTTTATTTTTGCCCATGAAAGTTCCTAGCTGGGGCAGCTAGGTGGCACAGTGGATAGAGCACCGGCCCTGAAATCAGGAGGACCTGAGTTCAAATCTGGTCTCAGACCAAACACTTGAGACTTACTAGCTGTGTGACCCTGGGCAAGTCACTTAACCCCAATTGCCTTAAAAAAAAAAAGAAAGAAAGAAAGTTCCTGGCTCCTTCAATTGATACTTCAACAATCTGCAATTTCATCAGTTCTCCACAGAGAACTTGGAAATCCTCCATGTTGCAGCATTGTCTTCATGAGTTGCTATGGCTGAAAAATTTAACATCTGGTAGCCAATCTAGCAGTGAAGTTATTCAAACTTAGCTAGTACTTGGATGACAGACTATTTTAACTAAGTACTAGCCTCCAATCCCTTTCGACTACTGTATGCACTCTGTTAATCCTTAATACTAGTTCATCCTTCCAAAACTCAACAAGCCAAAGATTGAACTCATCATCCTATATTCAGTTCTTTTCTATTCTTTCTTATTTGTACTAAGGGTATTGCTTACTCACAGTTACCCAGGTCGACAATCTCTGACTCTCTATCTCCTAAGCCCTGTCAATTGTACCTGCATAATATCTCCTATATCTGTCCATCTGTCCCCTTCCCTCCATGTTCAGGGTCACTATTCTAAATCAGGCCTGCTCTACTTATCTCATTTCTAATAGCTTCTTAATTGGTCTCCCTGCAAGAGGGGTCCCCTCTCTAATGCAATCTTGATAGGATTGCTAAATAATCTTCTTCAAGCATGTTTCTGACCTTGTTATTCCCCTTACTCGAAACCCTTTGGTGGCTCTCTACTGACAAACTCCTGTCATTCAGACTCTCTACAACCTGACTATAATCTACTTCTCTAGCCTCATTTTTCATTTATTCACCTATGTTACAGCCAAACTTAATTACTGTTCTCCAAAATGAATATATAATTTTTCCACCTCCATGCATTCATACATGCCATATGCAATGCCTGGAACTGATGATTTCCCTCACCTTTGACATTCAGAATCCTTATTTTCCTTCAATATTTATTTCAGGTGTCAAGTGGAAAGCCTTCCAACTTCTGGTGTTTTCCCATTCTCTCTAGTTTGCAGACTCTGTTCTATTCCCTTTTGTGGTACCTCTCTCATCTTCCCTGATTTTTCCAATATCACAAACAGTAGGCTCAGTCATCACAGCTGCCAGTTTTTTCATGTTCCAAGGATGCTTAACTCTAATTTTGTTTTTCTTTTCTCTGCAAAGGAGAACAAGTTTTACACAGGATATGACTGAACAAAAATGACTAACGGGGAGTTGATATCCAAGTCATGGTTAAGTGAATACCTAGGTGTCCTTAATGAATTTAAGTTACCTGGCCCAGATGAACTTTACATTCTGGATTCCTGAGAGAATTGGCAGATGTAATTGCTAAACTACTGTTAATAATACTGGAAAGATCCAGAAAGATGGGAAAGGTACTACAAAACTGGAAAATGTCAAGTCTCCTAATTTTCAAAAAACTGAAGAGAACAGAATCTGTAATCTAGATGCTAGGTAGCTGAACTTCAATACTTGGGAAGATTACAGAATGGATACAGAATATCTACAATTTGTGTGTGTTTATACACATAAATATGCATATACACATATATAATACAATATAAATGAATATATAATATCTAGTTAGTGAAAACCTGAAAAGGGAAGCTATAATGTCAAAGAGCCAGCATGGATTTGTCAATAGGTCATGCCAGACTAACTTAGTTTCCTTTTCTGATAGAATTACTAAATTAGTAGGTGAGAGGAATGCTGTAGATGTAATTTATCCAGATTTTAGCAAAGTTTTTGATAAAGTACATCATTCTTTTGGAGAAGACGGAGATATAGATAAGATGATAGTACAGTCAGGTGGAATCAGAACTGATTAGACTCCAAAAGTAACTGCTAATGGTTTGGTGTCAAAATAGTTGGTCTCTAGTAGAATGACTTGAATGAAGGCACAGAAGCCTTGCTCATCAAGTCTATAGATCTGATGAGCACTAAGTTGAAAGGCATAGCTAATACAGAGGATGAAAGGATCAAGACTGAAAAGGATCTCGACAGGCTAGAACACTGGGTTGAATCTAGTAAGGATAAATTCACTATGGATAAATGTTAAGATTTGCATTTGGGTATAAAAACATCACCTTCAAAAGTATACGATGAGAGAGGCATGGATTGGACAGCAGTTCTCAAAAAGATCTGGAGGTTTTAGGATTGCCAGATCAATGAGTTAGCAGTATGGTGTGGCAGGCAAAAAAATTTAATGTGATCTTGGTTATTATTGAGAAAGAGAGTTTCCAGGTTTAAGAAGGTAACAGAAGTACTGCACTCAGTCTTGATTTGGAATATTATGTTTAGTTCAGGAGGATGCTGATAAGCTGGAGAGCAGCTAGCGGAGGAGAACCAGAATGGTTAAGGGTCTCAAGTCCAGTTGAAGGTCCTGGGCATATTTAGCTTGGAGAAGACTAGGGAAAGGCAAGATAATTACCTTCATATATCTGATGGGATTAGATCCGTTCTGTTTGAACCCAGAACCTGGAGCAATGGGTGGAAGTTGTAAAAGTGGTCAATTTAGACCTCATGTCAGGAAAATTTTTCTAATAATTAGAGCTATCCAAAAGTGGAATGGGCTTCCTGTAGAGGTGGTAGGTTTCCCCTCCTTGAGGGTCTTTAAACAAAGAATGGACAGCTATTTAAGTGTACAAGTTAGACTAGATGAGTTAGCCCCTTAAGGTCCCTTACAATTCTCCAATTCTGTGCTTTTGTGAATTGGTGGTAAAGAAGCTAATGTAGACCATTTCCCTTTAAAGTTAATTATTTTTAGGCTGGAGAAGATCTAAAAACATGTTTGTAGGCTGAAGAGGAGAAGTCAGTAGAAAGGAAGAGATTATGAAAGAAAAACACAGGAGATTATCACTAAAACTAGTATCTAGATGACGGAAGGAATGAAACACAAATGTGAGGGAGTTCGCCAGGGAAAGGAGGTGGGCCATCCTGAGACAGAAGGGAAAGATGACAAAGAATTTCATAGCTATGAAAGTATGGGAATGAGAAATTTCCTAAGAGATTATAGGTCTGTTGAGAAAGAAGATAAAGTTGAAGAAAAGGTAAGGCAATTCCAATTTTTTTAGTTAGATTTTAAGCCATTGAAAGTGCAACTGAGATAATATAAGATTGTAATTTAAAAATCCTCCAACACATTGAAAGGAAAAAAAGTGTTCTTCAATTGTTCATTTCAAAACCTTTTCATCAGGTAGCTCAATAAGTTGAAGGCATGACTGATCTAGTCCATACAATAATGGGATTAAAATATAAGAAAGCACTAAATTACAGAAGAAACCATAAACTCAGGTCAGTATAATAAAGTAAACACTAAAGTCTCAATGTAATAAGATTTTTTTTCTATAAAAAGCACCAAATTTTTGTTTGATATAATCTTAAGAGGTTTTGAGAGGCTTCAGTGACAGCTGTTTCCTTTCTGAGGTCAAGCCACTTAAGTATAGAAAGACTGTCTTCAGTAAGCTGGCCAATTAGTGATGAATTCTTCAGTCATGGCAACTTACAAAACAAAAAAATAAAAAGTAGTCCTCAGTACTGTGTAGTGCATTTTTCCAATAAAGTTAGCAATTGAAGAAAAGGGGGCAGAAGGTGCTAAAGAATCACACAGATTTTAGGGTATTTGTAAACAGTTACTTGGCAGTTAGTACTCTAAATGTGAAATTCTTGTCCAGTATCCAACAGATGACTATACTACAAGAGAAGCTGAATCATATCTATCTTGATATTCTTGCTAATATGAAATCAGAAAACCAAAGGAAATTGTGAGCAAACTGGGAGGATGGCAGAGAGGCAAAGAGGTTATTTTACTGTGCATCCAAAAGCAATATGAAGTATTTCCTGGGACAATTTATCTAGTATAACAGTGTTTATGATAATCATTTAAAAAAGACCATTATTAGGATGATTGTAGTTTATGCACCAATGTGGGTTGCAGAAGATAAGGTAAAGAAATTCCCATCAAGAATTCAGTAAGACACTTCAAAGCAAATCAGAATTTACTTTATTATTTTACTGCATGACTTCAATACAAAGATGAGCATAGGAGAGAATGGTGAAAAATACTGTTCTAAAACATGGTTATGGAATGAGAAATAGAAGACAGAGGCTATTAACAGCATACAGAAGCCTCATGCCTATGGGTCATGAATACTTTTTTTAAGAAGAGATTTAAATATATTTTAACAGATTGGAAACGACTGGTCAAATAATTCCAAATTCAGCTGCTATGGTCAAATCAATGACATGTTACATTAAATATCAAACTCAATATTAAATTAGGAGAATACGAATAAGAAGACATGCTGTCCAAATTGAGGCATTGTTAATCTTAAGCTGCTGCCAACAAAAATGGGAAATGGCTAAAAGAACAGATATTGACCGACTACCAACATTTCCTAAAAAAGTTTAATGGATAAAAATTGATTGCTACAAAGAAGAGACCACAATAATCTAGAAACTATATCACTTTGCAAAACCAGCACTGACAAAAAAAGGACAATACTAGTTTAAAATAACTTATAAAATGCTGAAGAGGATAGTGGAAAATTATTAGTAATATCTCCTTATAAACCCATCAAGAAGCAGTAGAGGGTAAAACAAGTTTAGAGAAAGCAGGGCAAGATACCCACTAAAGCTAAACCATGACAGGAGCATTCAAGCATGAAAACGCCAAGAAAACAAATGAAAGAAAAATGGAAAAGATCTGAAAGGATTTATATAATATCTTAAAGTTTTTTTTTCTTTTGAATTTACAAACATGAACATTTTAATTTCTGAGACTAGGAGAAACTGTGAACCACTATGTAGTTTTTAAAAGGATATATTAAGTTCAAAACACTAGTACCAAACTTGTGCTGTTTATCTGTGTTCCTTTCTTGGCTTTATGCATTTCTTATTCAAGAATCATGTTTTCCAACATATTTTTCACTGTCCTTCCTTTACATTGAAGTCATACAGTATTAAAATATATATTAATTTAATTTGGATTATCTGATTTCTTTAAAAGCTTTCTCATAAAGGAAAAAATAAGTTCATAAGCTATAATCATCAAAGTGGTTTTATTGCAAATGCTTATCCTAAGCACTGTGATATGAGATAACCAAGTATCACAGGACATTTTTTGTTGTTGTCGTCTTTTAATGTACAAATAAAACAATCCTTCCAATTCCTTTATTTACCTCTCCAAGCTTGAAAGACATCCTTCCATTTACTCGCAATTTCCTTCAGTTTTCAGCTTTATTTATTGAGACATCTTAATATTAGTCACTTCTGGTAGCATGATTATTGATAGGTTATTAGACAAGCAGGATCTTACAATTCAAGTGATAATAGCTAAAGAAAAACTGTTTCATGCTTAGTACTCTTTGCCATTTTGTCACCATTACTGCAAAAGCAGAAAGGGGATACCCAGGACTGAGAATCTTGGAATAAGGAGAGCCTGAGTTCAAATTCTACCTCTGACACTTATTAGATATGTGACCAAAGTCTACTCATTTAACCTCTATGGGTCTCTGTTTCTTTATTCCCCAAACAGGGATAACTCCTACTTTCTCTATTTCACAGGGTTGTTGTAGAGTTCGAATGACATAATGTAACTAAATCACTTTGCAAACTTTAAAGTTATATATTAATTACTATTATTAGATAACGATAATATTTGCAAGAATGTGTGCAATGATGCCTTCAAAAGATCCCAGTCTGGAGGATTCAGAGTAGGACTTTGCGTAGAAACTTTATTCCAACAATTGAAAAAAAAAATTCTTGCTTTTTCAATTTTCAAATTGTTTCTAAGCTTATTCTAAATTACTCCAAAGAAAGAAAAGTTTTCTAATACTTGAAGAAAGAACAATGCTGTCAAAAGCTAGATTATCACTCCAAGAATTTCTCAATCGAAGTTCTTAAGTTACAGCTACTCAACTGGAAATACTTCCTTCAAGCCTCAACAGCAATCATGTGCTGCTGCTCCAATGGCATACCCTTGGCAAAACCTTCAAATAAATTCAAGTTTATACAACAGAGGAATTATTGTTGGGGGTCAATTCTCTTCTTCAGCAGTTAAAGATTGACACTAGCATCTATTATTGTGGCTATGGACAATAATAAAAAAAGAGCAACAATTGAATAAGGTCTGTGCTGGCCTGTTATAAATATCAA